AACAGTTAATTAGTTATGTTAAAATAATAATTACTTGGTGATAAAGTTAAAGTTCGCTGCTACAAATTATTAACATAATCCACAGATGTGTTCATTGCTGGAGTCGTGTCTATAAGTAGAAACTGTACACTGGTCATAGAATAGACCTTGGATGAGGATGATAGTTTCCTGCAAAATCCAAAGGATAAAACATAGTTAGTAGTGAAGCAAGTTGACAGTATGAACCAGTGAGTAGACAAAGTGTTAAGCAGCATACCGTATTTTGGATAGTACTCTGAAGTTATATCTATTTTACAAAAGTTATGTACAATTTTTCAATTTTTAACATCTAACAATAAACTGCACAGTGATGTTGTTCCAGACTCCACATGTCTACTGTGTAGTTTTGCCCTTCATTCTCTGGGTGTTGAATGTTACTTTGAAGGCTGTCAGTTTGACCTCGAAGGTCCCTTGTACAGGATAGTGGGCGGGGCCAACATCTGATACCCATCTCGATTTTGTGTCCAACAGGCTTCGCCTCCACTTTCCTAGCATTGAAATGAAGTCGATCTGATTTGTAGTGTCTCCATGTGGTGAAACGCACGTCGCCTTGTGTATATCCTTGTGCCTCTATCACCAAATCATGAGAGGCGCGGAATTCTGTGTAGGGTTCTCTGTCCTGGTTCATTTTGCCGAGTGGCTCCCGACCATTGATGAGTTCTCTTCGTGTGTTGCCTGCTCCCAGTTAGGATTGCATTCATACCACACCCATGTGGATTTCGATGTCTCGCTATGCGGTATTGTTCACTACTCATGTATATAAATGAAGCAGAAAAGTTGTGTGATTGACTTGATATAATTATGAGCAATAATTTGTGCTCGAAACTTTATCAGTAAATATTACTGTACAAAACTATGTGATTTATCAAAATAAAAGCTTATCCATAATGGAGTTATACTCTACCACAGTGCCCAAGTTTTATACTTGCCCACTACTGTTTGTAATTGTCTGTCGAAGTTTTCCTTCTTCCCTTGTTCCACGTTGTTTCTAGCTACGTAGCATTGTAGTGCTATAGGTGAGTCTCTTTTAAATTTTTTTATCTTGTTATGGTCAACTAGTGTAAATTGTGCTAGTTTTTGTGCTTCACCACTCTAATTGACGCCGTCTAACTACTCCACTCCACCTTCTCTCATTTATTCGTAGCACTCTTATGCCAGATCTTCTCATTTCTTTTGCAACCTCAACAGGCTTCCAAGCTTCGAACATCATGCCGACACTACAAGTCCCTATGCCTATTTCTTCAATGCACTGATATTTCTGTAGCGATCAAGTTGATTTTCCAGGGGATGGTCGTGAGTAACTCATAAACCTTCCCCGTTTTCCAGAACACAGTACTGTTCAGTAAAGTAGGTGAGGTAGTTTAAAAGTTTTAACATAATATTACTTCTGAATAATAATCACTGCATCGTGGTTTGTGTACTTCAACAGCTACCAATGGCCACAGAGTTGGGAGTAGGTGACTTGCGTAATGGACCACACTGTTACGACTCGTATGTGCACATCAGGCAGAAGGAATGGTAAGGACAGATGAAGTGGAATAATGTATTCGAGGAATTGTGATATGGTGAGGTCCTTACGAAGTGTGAATGAATTGGCACTACTGGTGTTTTCATTGTCTAAGATTAGGTTTTAGTAATCATGAGGAGGTCAACGAGGGAACTGTGTAACTCAAAAGAACAACGAGTTGCTTTTGAGCTTCGAACACTGTGTAAACATTCCACCTGCTGATGCTTATTTTGCTTTAACTGAAAGAAGTCAGGTCGATTGACTATCTGTTCGAAGGCTTTCATCGCCCGGCATCATTTCATTTCTCCGATTCTACGAAGAATTAGGCCATTGTTTCTTTATTTCTGTGCTTTAAAATTAGTGTGGAGATTGGACTGATTTTCCAAGATATAGTAGCTACCCGCACGCTAACTTTTCCTATATTTCAAGTCTCCGGAACGGCCAATAAACTAGTCAAATAGTAAAGTAGGCAAGATTATTTTGAAAATTTCCAGTTCAGCCAATTCTGAACTTGTATAAGTCAAATACTTGGAGAACTGACGGCTTCGCATTACTAACTGGCAGCACAGATTACATACCTGGCTAAAAATGCATGCCTTGGATATTGTTTATAAGCAAAAGTGAATATAACGCGTCTGTAATATAATGTCCCTAAATAATGATAACTGTTACTGCTACTTATTTACTAGCACGCTCAAATATACATTTGGAAGATATTGACTGTATATCAGTCACAAAATTAAGGCTGGAATTTTCATTTAGTTGGGATATTGTAAACACATATCTCTTTCAAATTCTTCCATAGAAAAGGAAAGATACTTCAGAATGTCAGAGTTATTCCTCATTGAGCAATACCTCATTCCAAAACTCAGCTCACGAATCACCTTGATTTTCGCTTTACTTTTTATCACCCATATAATCGTTAATCATTACATATAACAATTTAAGGCATCATTTGTTACAGTGCAGATAATCTATGATCATAAATGTACTCACTTTAAACAACCTCAAATCACGGAATATACAGATTGGATCATAGGAATTATTAAAAAGATGGTTGTAGCGAAGAAAATTTTCTTTTCGACAAAGTCATCAACTAGGCTGTACATTCGTGTATTTACATTAAATGTGTGAGAAAGTTCCAGAATTATTTCCGATCAAAGGTTAAATTAATAAAATTACTAAGTGTAATAAATAGAAGAAATACGTCCAACCGTTTTCCCTACCGTGACCATCATTAACAGTCAGTCCCACCAATAATGACTATCCAATTACCCTTCTTGTTCAACCTTCCCTTTTATTTCTGTTATATTTACGTTTTTAATCCCTATCTGCATTACTAGATTTGGTTACTAGTTTTATTTTTTTATTTCTGTGTATCCGAACCTCCTTCCTGTTTTGTTAATGCTACGTCCTTAATCCGTAATTATACAAACTAACGAGTTTTCCTGTAATTATAATCTTATTATGTCTTTTCTACCCAACCTTCCTGATTATTACACATCGTAATTTTTAATTTAACCTTTGGCCAGAAATAATTCTGGAACTTTTTCACACATTTAATATAAATACTCGAATATACAGCCTAGTTGATGACTTTGTCGAAAAAAAAATTGGCTTCGCCACAATCGTCTTTTTGACAACCTTAAATGTAAGTGAATAGAACTACCTATGGTGTACCAAGGAACGTAGCTCCAAAGTATTAACCTTACAAGGTACAAAACTAATAGATACTCTTTTTCAAATTTTCTGAAGCTAAGACATATTTCACAATATTTCACTTTAGACTACTGAAGAATGAAGCGTATTGCTTAACTCTGAAACTTTGTCAAAGTAGAACTGTAGTCATCTAATTTATATTTATGTGGTGCTTCCTAAATCCATGACAACAGAATATGGTGTAACCTTAAGCAAATGTACGAATTACGCTAACGTTCTAAAGCACTAAATTTGTCTATAATTTTCGAAATATGGAGTACGTTGTTGTAAGTGGTTTACCAAGTTAACTAAGGTTAAACAATCAACGTTGACAATTCCAGTTGCAAAGCAAATCTGGATTACTGAATTCAAATGACGAAAATATGCTGTTTATTTATCGTAATGTAGAAAATCTTTTCCACCTTCACGAAAAATGTGGGGCAGTAAAAATAAGCGATAAATGCGATAAAATTTGCAGTCAAGTATTATAAAATGCATTCATTGCTGCTTTTGCTGTTTCACATGAGGATCATAGGTCTTCAGTTACCAATAGGGGCATTCACTGAAATACTCTGGTGAAATTATATCAAATGGTGTTCGCATTATGATGATGAATTCATTCTATAACAGTTTTAACCGGTAAGTACTCATCATCAATCATATGTTTACTTAGCTGATTTTGGTTATATTCCAGGTTCCCGTTTCATAGTGTCATAAGTATACTAGAATTTAACTAATTTACTGTAATTAGGGTTAGTGGTCTGCTTTTGACTCAGCTAACTGACATTATTGTCAACAGGCACTTCGATTCTTGCAAGCATTTGGCTAAGGTTATTTCGTCTGATACTGAAAATCCTCTTTATTCTCAACTCTCTCCTTGTCTCTCTTTGGGTAAAACCAGGAGAAACTTCATAAGAATTTATGCTCGTACAACTAAATATAAAAATTCTAGCATACCACCATCTTTAGCATGGGTGCTTGTGTGTGAAGAGATGGTCAGATGTCAGAAAAGAACTTATAAACATTTTAAATCAGTAATCTGAACTGCAAAGTATAAGCAAAGATTATTATTACATGTATAATCTATGATATTACCTATTTATTGTTGCAATATGTATGAAAACCCTGAGAATTCTGTTCTGTATAATTATTAATATTTGGAATAAAGTTATTATTATTGACAAAGAAATCAGAACAAAAAAGCTGATATTTAATGTTGTTTTAATACAATCAATCTAAAAATTACATTCAGTACTGATTAAACAAGAAATATTACAGAGTAGTCGTCAGTTTCATTCAAATTCTTAATTATAATCTCTTTGCGCAAAAAAAAACAGAATTCAGTTCCTTCCTATATCTCACAATGAATAGTTTAAAAATACAGCAGGATAGTTCTAACACATTTTTGATGACGTAAGTGTAAGTGAATGCCTTTTCTGAACTCCTCTTTACTGATTGATGTCAGAACTTTTCTAAAGTGTTGTTCTATTTTTCAACATTCATAACTTTTTCTTGACAGTATACTACTAAAATTATTTATATGAGTATTAGGGTTGATAAGCAGTGATTCTAAAGGCTTTCATAAGGTGGCTAGATGGATTGTATCAACCTTCACCATGAGCGCATATTATGCATATATATATATATATATATATATATGTATACGTATAAATGAGTTTCCTCCGCCTAATTATAACTTATGATATAGATGAATTACATAAATGTATCAAAATGAAATCAAAAAGAAACAGATAAATAATAAAACCTGAAGTGATAATAAGAATAGTATTAGTAAATAGATTCAACAAAAAAAGAAAATGAATAGATGGAGCACAACCAGTATTTTCACTTTAACAAACTAAAAATTAATTTCACAACCCAGTATTCCTCTTTTTTAAGAATAAATAATTGGATGATAATTTTTGAAATGTTTCACAACCAATAGTTTCTCTTCTACAAAATCATGTCACTAAGAAAGAAGTTCATATATTAGTGAAATCCATAGATACCCTCTATGTCACAACCTAAATGATGTTCTTTTGTAGAGCTTAATTCAAGTCAAATAGAAGTATGCATACAAAGCATTAGACTATATGATAATAGAAAATTTCACCTACAATGGAATTAGGGGTGTAAGAACGTGATAGTATTATTCAGTTTTTATCTTTGGTCTATAAACTGTAGGATAGCAGGTATAAGCTTGTGATATATTGAGTCATATTACCATCTGTCCACACGCATACAGAAAGGCATCATTCGTGCAGAGATTTCAGCTGAATAATTAGAAGCAGAAATCTCATATAATGCCTTATAACTGACTTCCTGAGAAAACATACATTTATGGGTATATTTATGATTGGATATGTCCTAGTATTTATTGCTAAGGATCTCCAGGAGGCCTCTTTCTTTCTTCAGTATTTCTCTTCTGAAAACGATTCGGCGACTTTTGTGACCGTTCAGAATTTTGATAAATAACGTTTCCACCATCAATATTTTCTGAAATGCGCAAAGGACTTGTCTGTTGGTCAACTAAACGTTGATAAGGCGATAAATAACCTGTCATACTGTCCAAAGAATCTGATGAATCATAAGTAGATTTTCGTCCGACAGAAACGGAAGAACCAAATTCTTGAATTTTCGTCTTTTCACTTGCGGTCATATCTAAAGTAGTTGATGTCTTAGTATCAGGAAGGTTTATTTGTTGATTAATTTGTGCTATGTCAATAACTTTATCTGTATTAGGCAATACTGTTGTTGTCTGAAAGTTATTTGTTATAATTGTTTCGTTCTCCATAAAGCTTGAATTGTAATTTTTTAGTCGATATTCTCTTAGGAACTCCACGACACCATATTCAGACGAACGAGGTATTAGTAGACCGAATGCTGCACACAAATGTATAATTAAATAACATATAAAAAATATGCGGTCCATTACGATAGCTATCATACGCCATTCTTTGATGATAACATTCTCAGCATCTTTTTTGTCTACTCTGCTCAGAAATGACTTGACAATGGAACGAATATCCTCAACTTCATTCTCCATATTTTTCATAAGTAATATTAGGGTTGATGATAGTTGCAACTGTTGTAGAGTTCTATCAGCATTTATCGTTGTAATTGTTGAAGTAGCACTGATCGATGAATGGGGAGTACTTCTAATTATTGAAGGTAATTTTGATTGCACACCTGAATAAGTGGAAGTGTATTCATTATGATCTGTATAATTACGCCCACGTGGAGATATCAGTGCTGGTCTGCCATTCCTATATTCATATCTTACATGAGAACAAATTGAGTTTGTATCTAATGTGACATTTGTGTTAGCCATAGAATGACGATTCATTGATAGGTAATCATAGGGGTTTGTTTTAAACATCAGTGCATTAAGGTGCTGCTTGCATACGTCGCAATCTTCAGGATGTTTTCCGTGTTTTGAACTATGCACTCTTGTATGAACAGATCTTGGATTTGTAGAAGTAGTCATTAAAGGTAGAGTATCACAGACATTACAAGGTATTTTTGACGCGCACGCTCTACAGTGGTGCTGACAACATGCGTTTGAATGCTGCATATTTCCTAAAGCGTCACAATCATTAAACTTGGAAGGCGTAAGTGAGCGACTTCTTGTTTTCGACAGCTTAGAATAAGGATGACATGTTGCTAGCGATGGCTGAACGTCTAATTCCCTATAGTTGACTGTTTCAGTTTGTGTTTCACAGTGACGTTGATTTGGTCGATACCTCTTTTGTTCAACAGGAGCAGCATCATAATTGTAGTTATCTACAATAAAAGTTTTTAACCCAGTGTTTTCTTCTACAGTAGCAAAACGTGTTCTACCCTTTTTAGAACGCCTCATCCCACCAGTACTTTCAATGCATTTTGACGGATCTTGTGGATCACTGACCGAATTAACTAAAGCTGATTTTTTTATTTGTATCAGTTGGGATTCACAGTCAGTCTTATTTTTATTAGCAGTTATAGTTTCAAAGACAGTAGTGATTACATTCGTTGTCGGATCTTTGCTGCCATCAGTACAACTACATTTGCCGTCACAAACACCATTTAAGAAGTGACAAATCTGAAAAGTGAAAGCAACAAATATGTAAATAAGTATTGGTTATCGTATTTTTCTATGCTTATAAGTTGCCGATCGCAACCAAAAAGAAGAAAATTATCTTTTTAACTTTATGAAGAAACTGCATAAATCCGTTCAGCCATTTCACAGCGCATAACGACATTGATTCACAGTAAAATCTTCTAGTTAAAATTGTTCTTTAAAACAAGAACTAGTCACTAACCGGTAACATTCAAGAGGTTCATTGCAGTCTTACCATCTTCTGTTTAATACATACCACTTTGTAATAGCCACTCACCTGACACCTTTTATAACCTTGAACTGACTTGTCAATTTTCCTACCCCTACAAATCTATTATGACTAATTATCAATATTGTCTCCCATTTTACAATATTTTGTGATCGATTTCAGCCCAGCACGTTTGTCACACAAATACGACTATTTATTTTGACACCCCATAACTAATCTGTTATTCAACGTAAAAAAATGTATCGACCGCATAACTGGCCTTTATTGTAACGACAACAATAATATAATTGTAAGAACCTGAAGAGAAATTACTGAAAAGAATATTCTTCATTCAGACTGACTTTTAATTAATGATATGGGAATGTTTCACACTATTAAATCTTATAAGATTAAAGCATATTTGCCTGTTTTTACTCTGAAGATGCCAACTCTGGATTTTAAACTAAAACTCACGGATAGGATTATTATTTAAAACATGAATGTAATCGCTAACTGACTAAGCATATTTTCAGTCAAATTCTCACCGTTGCTGAAATTTATTAATTGAAAATATCAATGGAAAACTAAACTTGGATAAACACTCAGCTGTTGTCCGAAAGAAGCCGAATTTCAAAACAACACTGTCATGACATTCACAACTATAATGCCTAAACTTTATTCTGAATTAAGTTATTAACTTGTGTGCATTAATTCCTCAATGAATAATACTCAGATCATCGACAAAACAAATGAGTAATTCACACCAAAAAGGTATAATTTTGTGAATAATACATTCTTTGTTACAGAACGTAAAAACTCCAGAATTAAAAAGCAAATATGCCATCAAGTGAAAACTTCAGTTAAATCTTTTAGTGTACACCAATAATAATAATAATTTAAGTGCGGTTACTGAAAAACGCTTGAAAAGTTAGTCTGAATACTTATAAATATCCTAGCACTAAATTTTTAATATGCTCGTGTTATATGAGAAAGGTGGATTGTAGAAAGGTAAAGAGTACAGTCGAAGTGTACATTAATTCCGTATTCATTTGCTTATTGGATAAACCACATAGTGAAACACTTTTATCTACTGGACATTACATTTACTTCAGACTAATTAAGATTGTAATTTGATAGAAAGCTTTAACACAGTAATTAAATGTTTATTATGAAATACAGCCGAAATTTTGAATAAACATTTATTAAATCCTTGTCAGTTTTTGTTTCATTTGTTATAGATGTCACAAGCGAATTCACAGGTACTCGCATAGAACTATATACTACTCATTGATTAAGATGAACAGTTGCATACCACTCATGTCAAGCAGTAGTGCTTGCTAGCCAAATTGAGGGGATTTAAACACCGGACGGCCATTTCGCTCGTTTAAGGCAAAGCTCATCAGCAGTCTGCACAATTTGACTCAGCTCAGGGAGCCAAACCAGTTCAAACCATCCGATTTTTGGCTAGCTACTTGAGTGAACTGGTAACAGGATAAACTGAATTTACACTTTGCAGACAAATTTACAATTTACGCAGTTCGAGGAGGTTTCATTTTAAGAACCGAATTCTTCAGATTACCATAAATGACAGTCAAGAAAGCAAACATATTCGAATATTTTTCATCAGGCAGATAACATATATTGTGATTTGAATAACTTGGTTACCAAAGGGAACTGTGGGGAAATTTCGCTTCTCAAACTGTGTAGATTGCATATCGCTAACCAATTTGTAAACTGTGAATTTGATTTTGGAGATTACTACAAATTTCATAGATGTCTTTAATAGTTACTGAAATAATATTGCTCATTAGACGTTATATTTCATCAGACTTTATAAAATTACGTCATATCTGACTTTTCATACAAATTTTCCTTTAGTAAATGATAATTTGTCAAGCTTTTATCACTACCGGACAAATTTTGAATAAAATCAGAGATGATTTGTGTAAAAATGCATTTTTATCTCACCTTTCTCAAGCATAATGGGACCCGATTACGTCTATCCCCACGGAAATAGAGATTAATTACTATCACTGACAAGAAGGAGGATAAGGTAATTAAAATCATGTTCAAACAGTAATAGTATCCTGTAACAATAAAAGAAGACAGCATAATTAGTAAAGACGGATAATATTTTGATACATAACTAGTTACGTTTACAATTTCAATGTTCTTATTATTTGCGTCAATTAAGCTACAAATTAGACCTGAGTATCAGTTACAATGTCGATATTGCAAAAGCAACAGTATACTTTTCGTATTCACACTCTGATTAAAGTTGGATAATAGATGGAAACTAGGAACATTTCTCAGAGTTAGATATTATTTCCTTTTATCAACATTTTTCTCACAATTTTTATTTGCCACAGCTTAGCCCTACGTTTTTACAGTCTTTTTGGTTAACACCAGTAAGTAAGCAACTCGTGACTGTCTTTAGCCGTAATGATTTATCGGTATAATTTTGTGCAACACGCTAGATATGAAATTTTTATAGCTTTAAGCAAAACTGTCCTCTATGTTTGTGTCTTCAATGTTTCGTCCTACAAACGCTCTAAGCAGTATGCATGATGATAAAAAGAATTATTTACTCGTTGTCGCAGGGAAATCGGTTTTAAGCCTGTTTCAAAAAATTCTAAATTATATGCCTTATTCTGTATATGGTGTTTCCATTCCTGGTAACTTGTAAAATATATTAAAAACAACTTACTACTTCATTATTCGCGGTTAAACAAATATCGACCTGGGATATCAAGCACTTTTAATATTATGTATGTATAAACACATACATTTGCAAATATGCAGGCATATGCTTAAGGGGATAGTTTCAAGAATTTGTTAGGGACACTGAGGACTTACACAATGGACTGAACAAATAAAACGTCTTAGCAGTGGTTAACTTTACAATTTCTAATATCCTACAACGGCTTTACTTAAAATTTGTAATTATTCAATAATCATTCAAATGAATACCATGGACTAGTTAAAGTTCATATATGTATATTCAATTTTTAACCAACTTCTTACCAATATATGGCACACTGTTTGAAGCTTGAGGTGTCGAGTCGGCTAATAATAATAGCAACAAAAAGAATGCCACGAATATATTCATTCCTAAAGTATGAAAAACGAACAAAAAGAGATATTGTTTCATGGTAATGCGCAAATATATAATTTACAGATACATGAATACAGACCTTGTATTAAATGTACCCTTTTTCATTGCAACAAGAAGCTGACATGTCAACCTAAAACCAAGCACTTCGGTTCAATCAATCGTCGGTGGCACAGTGGTTAGGACTCTCGCCGACCATCCACATGGTCCGGGGTTCGATCCCCTGCCGGCGCACACCCGATATCTATGGTCAGCCTGAATTTGGGCTACCGATATCCATGCTGAAATTTCCATACTTGTACTGAAAATACGGTGTGGAATTAAGCTGTAAATCAAAATAAAAATAAAATAAATAAAATCCAAAATTCAATTAAATCAATATGACCCTTTGCACAAGAGGTGGCTCTCAGGGCCCGAGTGGTCTAGTGGATAGAGCTTTGGTGTTTGAAACTATAGGCACTGGATTCGAGCCTCGGCGGGAACATCATCACTCAGTGGTAAATGCAGGTACATCCAGATGACGAGTCCCAAATAGGACAAAATGCGCATCCTGGATTCCAGTGCTAGTCACAATCCACCAATTAAAGTCTAATAAAAGCAACATTTGAAGCTTGAGGAACGATGTATCCTCCTTGTTCACCAATGTACCGTTAATGAAGACAGTAGATTTTATATGTGATGAGATTACTATGCAAAACATAGACATCGGCATTTCTGTATCCTCCTTGAAGGAACTTATTTTAAGATGCACAATAAATGTTCATTTCTTATTCCATAAAGAAAGAAAGACAAACTGACGGTGTAGCTATGGGTTCCCTATTACGTTCAATCCTAGCTAATTTTTTCGTCGCTAAGTTAGAGAATGAACCACTGAGAAGAGTAATTAATGACCTGGATTTCTACTGTCGATATATGGATGATACATTTCTGGTTATGAAAAACTAGAATGATGCAATGAACATCCTTGACAAGTTTAATGATGCCCACTTAGCAATAAGTTTTATCATAGAGAAAGAAAGTGATGACAGTATCTCATTCCTAGACGTCTTCATGGCTAGGGAAGAAGATGGCACACTAAGAAGGAGTGTGTAAAGGAAACCTACAACAACAGGTCATTACACTCATTTTTCGAGTTTTGTACCTTTGAAATATAAACGTAACCTGGTAAGGTTTCTGGTTCAATGTGCTAGGTTACTCTGTTCAGACGACTGCCTCAATGAGAAGCTTAAGACTATTAGAGAATTACTTAGAAGAAATGGTTATTCAGGTAAGTTCATTGAGGAAAATATGAATTCAACACATAGGAGAGTCAGTATGGCAACAGTTCCGAAAAAAACCATTTTTCATAAAACTGGAGTTTCTCGGTGACAACACCAGCGAAAAAAATGACACAGAGCCTGAAGAATGCAGTTAAAAGAGCTTATCATACAGCAGAGCTACGTTGTCTCTTCACTACCACTCCTATTTCACGTTCTAGAAATAATGATAAACTAACTAAATTTGCCTCTTATATGTGTATCTACTAGTTTGACTGCAGCTGCGGAGCCAGCTACATTGGGCGTACAATTAGGCAGATTCATCATCGTATTTCCGAACATCATCCAACATGGTTAAGCAAGGGACAAACAAGATCTATTCGTAGCTCTGTCTTAGCATACTTTGTAAATAGTGAGCATAAGGTTGACGTTAATACAGCATTTAAAATTATTTATCGCATTTCTACTAATCTTAATTTTGCTTTACGACTTCGTCTTCTACATGCAGCTGAAGCAATAAGAATTCACCTGAAGAAGCCAAATCTGTGTGTTCAGAAGAGATTTGTACAGCCACTTTCCTTACCTTGATTATCGTTACATGAATGTGTAAACTGGACTACTTCGTCCCCCTCCCCCTAAACCTTTAAAAATTATGATCGTTTAAATTATTTTATTATTTTTCTGACTGCTTCATCTTTAATTTCATGTTCTCTTTGAAAAATTATTTTAATCTTATGACCACTTCATGCTTAGTTACAAGTTATTATTGTCCAAATCGTTTTATTTTCTTTAACAATCTGTTACGTAACCGACCTGTGCACACGCTTATTTCTTAATTACTCTTCATTTTTCCAAAATTTTGCATTGCGCAATCCATGCGTTGCAACCATTTCTACCTTTTAATTGTGCGCACTAATTTTCTTTGTTAATTATCACCCCACTGACGCGTTGATACTGACTAATTATTGTTAACAAACAAATCACCACTTGATTGGTAAATTGTTGCGTATTGTAATAAAAATGCTGTATATATTAGAGTAGAGCCAGAGATGAGGATCTAACTGAAAAGTAAATACTTCTTCGACCAATCCTTCTGCTTTCTAAATGTCAAAATGGGGATTTTTTCTATATTAAAAACAGTCGTACCCAAAGTTCGATTTGTTTGTGGTAAACCAGAATTATCAAGTGGTCACCAAAAAACAGTTAGCTATTGTCAGACGACGATTTGTTGAATCAGCTTCCACTACTGTCTTTTATTGTTGGGATGAAAAGCGTGAAAATGATTACTTGATAGGAAAAAAGTAGAAAAGTAAGAAAGCAGATGAATAGTGCAGAGAATGTTTGCATACGAAAAAGTAGGCTTATATGACTACTCACCAAGAACCATTTTAGCTGGAGATTCTGGGGGTAACCAAAATATAACAAGCGTTAATGATGCCAGCAGAACGCAGGGTAGAACCAAGATGTAGGAAAAGAATGCAGCGTTTCTTCTTAAACTGTAAAAGGTGAATAAGACATTGGCAAACTAATTATTTTAAAATACGTTTTTACAAATGTAGTTGATTCATGAAATTAGTAAATAGTATTCCTCGTTATTTCAGATTTCATATGAAGTACCTATATAAAAAGGATTTGTAAAAGTGATCAATATACCGCAAAAACATCTTTAAATAATGTGGTTAATGCTAATTGTCCAGATCTTACGTCGTACAGTCTGCGTAGATTTACTCACTAAGCTTTCCTCTAAATATGCGTGCAAAGAAAGCATAAAGGCTTTTCTAACCTTATACAAGTTTTTCACAAACTTGGCAACAAACTGTACAATGAGTACATTTCACCACTTTTTGATTATTTTCAAAGAAAAAAAATAACTTCACGTTTAGTTGGGATCATTAAAGATGGGCTCTATTATAAGTATCGTGTATTCTTCACATGCATAATGTCATCATATGGTAGCTACAAATATTGTTTTTACATTTTGTATTTATGTAAACAGTTCATGTCGCATTACATGTTTAAGACAGATTTCGTCACGGATGAACATCATTCATGTAACCATTGAAAATCGGGAAGCAGTGACAGCCATTTCTACTTAGTTTACGACTCTTCAACAGTATAAATCCTGCTAAAGAGCACAGTCAAAGTCTTTAGATTACAAGACAAACCCTCCAGTCAGTGGCTCCGTTAATGATATCAATTTGTAACCACACTTACCATGAAATTAATTAAATCCTTGCAACCCAGTACTCGAAAATTGTATGTTACTGAGTAGCAGTTATTTATTGCCAGTATCTCTATAATAGTATCAAAGTGCTGTTGCAACAATACTTAAAAAGCCAGTAGCTTTGAACTTCATTATTTGGTGGCACAGTGGTAGAATGCTCACCAACTACGCAGGTGGTCAGGGTTTCGATCCCCGTCCAACTCTCTTTTTTACCTCGCTAAGCCAGTAATAAGACTGGTAAAGAGGGAAGGTTGGGCATGAGCCTAGCAACACCACCCCGTAAAAACAAAAACACCTCTGCTACTGAAAATTCAAAGCTCTAGCTTAAAGCTCAATGTCCCACTGGGAAAGTTAAGGAATAAAACAATAAATTATCAAGATCAGCAGCTTGCAGACTGTTCTGAATTCAGACAAAGGGACCCATAATATGCGCATGTGTGTTAATACAATCCAGCCGAGCAATATGGAGTGTTAAGCTTTGTTATTAAAATCAAATTTGAATTATTGGGTCATGGGCACCTGATAAATAAGCAGTGTTTCAGAGACAACTAGTACTCCATAGAATCACCCGTATTTAAATAATCATCTCTGCATACAGCAAAACACCAAACTTACAAAAGAAAAAATGTCAAATCAGGATAGAATTCTGGACAGCATGGATAGGACTTCACATTTCTTAATGCTGGACAAGCTATTATCTCCCACTCATTGCTTTCTGTGTAATCACTTAGTAGAACTTGTGCTTCGTTTTTAATGAAATTAACATCTAGTTTATTTCCATCATATGTCCAAGAACCAAACTTGAGATGACATGTTTGCTCATCAAATGGAAATGACTTTATATCAATTTTACATGAGGATTTGAAGATGGCAGGTGGCATCCAAAAAAGTTCACCAGTATGTTGAACAATAATCATTGCATCACGCATTTCCTTCAATCTCTCATCAGCGCTACAAAACAAAACACAGTAAGTTAGTAAAATCTAGAAACAATTTATGGGAAGACACTTATATTTATGAGATGGTCACCATAACACTGACAATGTGAATTACAATTTGAAGTTTTGAACAATAAATATATCTTTAATCCCAAGATACATAAATTTTCTTAAAGTTATGTTAATTTTTTGGGGTTTTTCAGAAAGATTATTTTTCATTTAGTGTGTATTAAACAAAGTAAGTGTTATTAATGAGTGCTAGATTGAACTTGTAATCAAGTCTTTGCATTCGCTTATATTTCGTTCTTGAGATATTAAAAATGATAAATAATATCAGGATCCCTAGAATAAAGCTAATAATACAGTTACTTTGAAAGTTTGATTGCTCTTCCAATCTGAAGTTAATGCTTAGTACAATTTAAAGTACAGCTTTTTCAGGAAGAATGCATATTCAGGTTTCCATGTAATCACCGACCAATGCCACGAAATGCTTATTACTGTGTGGAAGTAGTGCATTTCAAAGTCGTCTATGCAACGCAGAAGAATCAGTGTTAAAGAAATAGTGACCAAAGGTTCCCTACAGAAACAATCGCTAAAAATGAAGTGTTTCGAACAAACAGTCTTCCCAGTTTGTACATTCGTCATATCATGAAAAGTTTCAGTAACACGTCACAATATCAAATCCCACATCTCACCACACATTCCTTACGGAACCTTGGAAGCCTTATTACGTGCTTTTTTGAGAACTGGTATTTCTGTGGTTAGGATATTTGGACATGATATACAGATGTGGACAGTATTTCTGAGTATACCAGCAGCAAGTTAGAGATATTATTTTCAAATTCAAACTGTTCACCAACGGAAGCGAAAAACACTTAGGTAAATAAACATTAAATGCTTCGAGGAAAACCTAAATTTGATAAAGATACCAAGTGGAAATTCCACTTCCTTGAAAAATATCATTTTCTAATGAGAAATAGGTGTAGTAATTGAAGATTTTTGACGTATTTGCATCAAAAAATTAACAGTTGATAATGCTCGTATTCGAGAAATAAAACTGGATACATGACACTGTTAAAGACTGAACTTCAAAATGCAGAATAGACAGATATGATCGAATCATGTAGAATTTGTCTTTTCTTCATTGAGAATTACAATTTTGCGATCAGTATCAAAGTCGAAAGTTTGTATGTGAACGAAAGACAAGGGTAATGACTAGAACTAATAAATAGTTTCACTAAATTCTGTGAGCTCCACAGTTATGAATACATAAATGTAGTCACTACAATATAACAGCTATTGTGGGAAGCATATTTCAATATTTCAGCGTCGATACAATCAGTATTATATCAAATTTATAAGTCAAAGAATGTAAGATGTTAAGGGCAAATTATGAATTAGTTCAATGTTTATTGTTAATTACAAACATTTCGAATAGACTGATCTGGGAACAGGAAGATAAAGTCTATGGACAGTAATTCACACATTCAAGAAATATAAATGCATTTGTTAGTTTGTTTATCCTATAATAAACGATTGCCAGTCAACAATGATCTACATACTGAATAAAATGAGAAATTTATGTGAATACAACTCAAAATGACTAACTGTGGAAAGAATTACGTCAGTCCATGGAAATAGACCTAATGAAGTACTTCATGAAACTGCAATTGCATTGCACCTTCGCAGTCTGAGGAGGACGATACTGGGAACAACTTTTCGCTCTGATCGTTCTAGTCTGCATTTATGTATAATGTGAGTGTTCACACTCAGTGTGAAGGTATTCATGAAAACGATTAGGGTGCGATATATGCGTTATACATACAGAATACTAAGTTTATGAAACAATAAACATTTACGCTAAAAATGTTTTAGGAAACTACAGTATTTTCGCTGAAAATTTCAGACTGTATTTCGGTAACAATTGTTAGTTAAAGGAACATATACATTTTCGCGTATCTTTTGAATATGATGATCTGAAGCAAGGCTTATAAATAACAGTAAATAAAGCTGTCTGTAGACTTCCATTTTCCTTGGTGCCATTTGGCTGTCCAAACATTTTATTCAACTTATCCGAATACACTAAGGATATATTACTGAACATGTGCTGATATACTTCTAAAGAATTTCTAGAAAAATGTCATCAAAATAGATGTCAGAGTCACTAACAAAAAGCTTCAATAAATGCATTACATTTTATTAACTTACTAATTATATAGCACAATATCTGGTGTCCATATATGCCTATATGGTACACGTACTTCATTGATATTTGAGTAGTTCTCAGGATTCCACTTGAGAATGTGATCAGTCCAACGCTGTGATTACAAAGAAATAATCTACTATAAATAATTACTGCATTCATGAGTTATGAAACATTTTAGATCAACAATTCTATTCATAAAATAGTAACAGTAAGATCAAAGAAATACCATTAAGTCATCCAATACACTTCTCCTGACAATAAGTCCTGTTGGTTCTTGATTCTCGGAAGGCGGTTAACTTAGACCTAAGTATTCTAACGTCATGCCATTACATTTATAATGAAAGGTGCTTCAAAAAAAAATAGGTTAGCATTATTTACACAGTAATGTAGTAAATTCCAGAACACTATACAATAAGTTGTGCTTCGAAATAGATTATTTAGTGAGTCAAACGTACGTTTCCTACTGTCAGTGCTAGTGAACACTGAATCGTTCATTTATTCGAACCGATCTTCACATTAGCGGGGGACAAGAAAGTTATCGTAGCTTAATCGTGTACTAGTTGGCAGAAGGCTTATTTACAGACTTTGGCACTGAGGAACAAATGTAAATCTGTTTCGTTTTCAGTTGAAGAATAAACAGTCGTATTGACCCACCATTTTCTGCTCTTCTGCGTTGGTTACAGTACACAGTATTCTGTGTACTCAGCCTAATCTTCTAAAACCAGTGGTAGGTCCAGGTTCTTTGCGATCCGGATATTTGACACCTACCATATAATATTTGTAGCGAATATGTAACATAACCAAACTTATTTAAACTGTTACAACAATAAAATTTCTTAGAAACATAGACAAGCATTATTACTGAGAACAATGCAAATTAGGAGAGCAAAATATCTTATCATTACACCTGAATAGTTTCCTATATAATTTCACCGAGATATCAACCACTCAAAACCTAGATGTTTGATGTGTATGAAAGTCGTTACTAGAGTGCATTTTTCATACGGTATTGTTTTTGTAAACTGAAGTAAAAGGAAGTGATGTATGAGATGAAATAACAACGTGATGTAAACCCCTCCACTCTTTGTAGCAAGACTGCAATCAACAAATAATCATTCTTCTGCCATGTGATGTGGGATAATTTACCTAACAATAGACAAAGTTTCTTACTCAGTTTAATCTATCTGAAGGGTAAGAAACACGTTACTGTTATTGTTTCGTAAAACCAGATAGTGAACTATCAGTGGGTGAGTACTGCCTATGAGTCCCAAACTAAAACAAAACAGCTGTCCAGTACTCCTCTGGTTTTCAATAGTTGTCTAACTGACATCAATCAAACTTGAAACAAATCAAATCCCTAAAAACTAATTCTTGAAAACCTCTTTAGTACCACATATAACTACTACCTATCTGTTGTTGCTGTTGTTGTATTGTCCTAGGAGTCAAATCAGGGTACTATTGATTTGTTAGACTGTTTTGGATAAATGTTTGGTAATCGCAGACATAAAAACAATACACATCAGTGACTCCCAGACAATAAGGTATATTTAAAATGCATATAAACACAAGTTATTTATTCACTAAGAATGCTAATATTATTAGCATACTTGTGCCTGAAAAGAATTAATTCTTAATTAAAAATATTTTTAAGGATACAGAATAAAGCGTTTTGCTAACTGCGTACATTTTCTTCATTGAACGACTAACGTACAGTTACCGAATAAATCTAATTTTGTTTTATTACAGCTTTTGAAATTTATGCTGAATAAGCTGAGTTGCAAAGTAACTTGCAATAATACTGCAGCACTGTTGGTACCCGTTAATCAATATCGAATTTCTTATATATAACATACAATAGATAATATAAGCGATTAAAATTTTTTTTCAAAAACAGGAATGAAATTACATAGATGACAAAGCAGAAGTTATTTCAGCCAAATATGCAGATTTACGGTGAGGCTATTCAAATTGACGAAACTATCCAATATCAATATTGTAGTCCACACTTACACATGAAACATGGTCACTGAACTAAGGTAATGAGATTGGAAACACTGATAAGTCATTTTAGACCAGTTTTAAAGCTATAGTCAAATAATTTGTTATTTATGATGAAGACACATGGTGTAATTTTGGAGAATGGTGAAAAAAAGCTGAAAGACACCCAACTGTTTGGCACCACTTTTCGAATTACATTTCGTTAAGTGTCGCACAAGTCATTCATAGTCATATAGATTCAGATGAAGGCGAATCTCAACTTTTCTTCAATTCAAGAAATTATTAATGGCTTGGAAAAGATTTCATAAGAGTTAGCATCTGAATAAAAGAAAAGGAAGTCACAATCATTGAAAGCTAAGAAAGAATTTCATCTTACAACAGTAATACATCAACCTGTCGGTATAATTTGCAATAAACAAATAAACACATATATCATTCACACATGAGATGATGTACTGAAGTGCATTCAGGTGGATTACAGTCAGCAGAAATATTTACTACTAATTTATTTTTCGTGTAAACAAATCATCAGTAGACGAATATATTCTTTCTCAAGTTTATTTGTTAAATTGATTTTCTTACAGAATATTTAATGCAGTTGGTTACATATATTTAATTTTAGTAAACCAAGTATCGAGTACTTCGGTAGTTAATTTCTTAAGGTTGTAGACAATTAGAAAGCAGTTTCTGATACATCTTTCATTCTTTTCGATACTTCATGTGTCTATAAACACACGTCTTGACAGTGTTTTTCCGAAATATGACTTGTTAGTTATTGAAATAACTGTATTCTTTTGATTTTAGGGATTTTTTACAAGTATCAAATGTGTAACTAAAAAAGGGTAGAAGTTATGAAGAAAGATCCCCGGTGATTGTCGTTTAAATAAAGTCTAATTATAAAGACATCTTGAGAATTACAGTAGGGAAGCTCATATGTCATATCCCAAAGTAACCTTATTTCTGAATGCCTTTCACTTGCAGAAATGATTCACTGGCAATATGTATTGTTTTCTTCACATTCCCCGAGTTGGTTACCTAAAAAAATGTTCTAATTACCACTGAATTCGTTGAAAACTTCATCAGCATGAAAACTGACTTTCCATAAGGTACCCATATTCTTAATATATTTGTTATCATGAAGCGACAGTAATTCTATAAGTAAACTATTGCTTCTCTAAAGAGCTTGGATAAATATTATTATTAGCGTTTATACATTTGTAAGAAATTATTGAAATGAGTATGTTCTAAAACACAAGATGAAGGAGAGACAAGTTTTGTTAATAACATTAGTAACAAGTAAAGATTTTTGAATCAGCGTTGTGATATATTTTTAAAAGTTTCGGACTACTTTTCATAGTGTTTAACTAGGATAAAAGCGTAATAAATCAATTGTTGTACAGAAGAACATGGTAGTAATGGAACCAAGGAAGATCGCTAAGTGTTTAGTTATGAATTCCGTGACTGACTGCAATTATTTACATAAAACAGTCTTTGAAATGGGGGTTATATGCAGTGAATTAGAAACACCAAGTGTTTACTAATAATAACTTATAAATATCAGTTTGGATTCTTGCTTTAGTCTGCAAAAAGTGTGTATTTCGTTAGATGGAAAGAACTAAGTTATTTACAGAAATAGTGAAATAGTTTAGTTTTGTTAGTTATACTAATAACAATATAACTTTTTTGTTATATGACAGAAAGAAATTTTTAGTGCAGTAGTGGCAGTTTCGTCACATAGTCGGACACCTTGTCCTTTAAAGTTTTTATTCTCACACCCACACTTACTCTATCCTCTTATTTTAATAAGACTCGACATGGCTGATATTTAATAGTATTAATGGAATGTATGAAATTAAAAGTAGCAAGTCACACAGACAATTCTTGTTAATTCACTGAAACAACTGCAGTAGTAGTGAATAATGGGAATAAATTTTTTCAGTTTTACATATCATTAACCTATGTATATGTATATATATATATATCTTTGCAGAGGGAAAACGAAACCCGGGTTAAATTATTTTAAAAGAGAATAATATTGCCAAATTAATTTTTTTTAAAAGATTTCTTCTTTACAGTCTTCATCTTTCTCTATGTAAATTTATTATTCTATCCATTTTACTCGGCGCTCACTGTATTCTTGGACAAAACAGAGACAAAAAAAGTTGCATACTTGAAGAGAGATGAAAACAAAGAAGAGCATCTTTAATATACAGTATTTCTCATTGTGTTTACGAAAGATGTCTGTTCTTCTTTTTCGTGTATATAAAGGCGTTTTGTCCGGAGCAGTTTATTAGATATTTCGGCACATGATTTGCATAAAAAAGGTTACATAAGTAAAATAAAAGAATAAAACGTTTCATCCTATATCATGTTGTTTTCATTTGTCTGTAATCTAGAATAGTCATACTTAATAATTAAGGCAACTGCCGGCGAAAAGTTATCAAATCTTAATAAACAGAAATATACAAACAAAAGAAACTCATAAAAGTGAAGGATTACAAATTTTGTGAACTCTATTCATATGGTGCAATGACTACAGATAAAAGCTTGAGATACAAGACAAATAAAAATGTCATCCTCCAACATACTTGTCTAACGTTGTACCGTCTAAACTACGAGGTGTAATAACTAGTTAGTGTGAGAGGTCACTGAGCCATAGTTCATTGATTCAAGTAATGCATTATAATTTACTATGTTGTGCAAATGATTTGACATATAAAAAAGAGCTACTCTGTTTCTTATACGAGGTCCGTTAGAAAACTCCAGAACTTGTGTTCATTATTATAGTTTACACTATTCGATAAGTACTAAAACCTGTGATATTCTTTTTCATTTAAGTCTCACTGAATTTAGTTAAACTAAAAGGTTACAAATCGCCCGTTTTTTCTGAATTTACCATAACTTCATAGCAGACTTTTGAATCATAAAAGTATAAATGTTCATCTAATGAGAATAATGTATCGAATATGAAATTTTGGTGGTTTGAAATTTATTTGTTAGATTTGTTGCCGAATATTTTTAGGAATCAAGTGAGTATTTCGTGACTATAATGCTTACGAATTATTGACCCATTTAGCCACTCTAAAGTTCGAAATGTTGACATACGGGCAACAT